ATATGGAAGCTAGCATTACGAATAGTATCAAGACCTCTTTAGGAAATTACTATTTTTCAGAGATGTCTTCTAGGCATAGCTAGTTCTTGGCCCTTGCACCTGTCCAAGGATCCTGCGTCTTCTGTTTATTAGAGATGATAGATTGCAGCCTGTTTGGCTTAGCATCTGGTTCTTTGCTAGTGGACTGTATCATTGTTAATGTTCTCCAGATAATCTAGGTATAGTGGTACTTTGGTTTAGGAACTTAATTTGTTTTACAGCCTTTGGGAAGATAGCTGCATTTCTGTTTGTGTGGGGAAGGTGGCCCTGATTGTGTTTGTGAATGAAAGCAAAACTTTATTGAATGTTTTTGTTTGAGAACTTAATTGTTTGCAAACAGAAATGTTGGTGAACCGAGGTATTACTGTATTATCATACAAGGAAGATCAATTGATGACAGTAGCTTGTAACCTTGAGCTAAAGTAGTATAATCAGCAATACCAACAGCATCAAACATAGACTGGAAAATGACAAACTTTGATAACTAGTAATTTACCACCTTTAACTGTTTGTACAAGATTTATAGTTATATAAAAAATCCTAAGACAATTAAAAAATTTATATAGTAAATATCCACTCATAAGAACAATTTTACCCAAAGGGGAGAAAATTAAAAGGGAGAAGAGGAAAGTATACAGAAAATAAAGAAGAAAAAGAGAATCAAAGCCAGGCTGAATGAAAGAAAGATTAGTCAAGCTTCAGGAAACTGGTGAAGACAAAAGGGACAGAAAGAATGAAAAAGGAGAAAAAAAAAGCTGTGAACAGTGTTCACCTTCAAAAAGAAACAAAAACAACTAGAGGAAAATAAAAAGCCAAATAATAATTTTTAAAAAGAAGCTTCTCAGGGAATTTAGCTCAGTGGTTCCGCCACCTACCTTGCAAGCACAAGGACCCGAGTTCGATCCCCGGAACCCCCCCCAAAAAAATAAATAAAATAAAATAAAAAGAAGCTTCTCTGTGCCTTCAAGCCTGTCATCTTCTGAGATCTGTGATTTCTGTGTTGTGGTCTGTCTCTTCAGTGTCTCTGTAGGCTCCACCCTTCCCTTCAGGTCCTTCCTGGGTCCCAGAGATCCACCTGTTTCCTTTCCTTCCCAAGGTTGTTATTTTTCAGGGTCTATATTCGAAATCATGGAGAGGCTGATTTGTTGCAGCTTACCACTCTGCAATCTTCCTGGAAGACCTTCATGAATGACTTTTACTGTATTGAGATAAGGTCCTTCTATACCTATTTCCTCAGGTTTTTTGCATGTGTGCTTTTATTTTGAATGGGTGTTGGATTTTGTGCAAGGCTTTTTTTTGCATCTTTTGAGATGATTATATGATTTTTGATGTTTATGTTCTGAATTAACATTTGTTGATTTTTATGTTGAGCCATCCTTGCATCCCTAGAATGAAGCCTATTTGATCATGGCATATGACCTTTTTGATGATTTTTCACATTTTTTGCCAGTTTTTTTTTTGGTATTGGGGATCGAACATGGATCCTTGTACTTGCAAGGCAGGTGGTGGAACCATTGAGCTAAATCCCTGATGCCAGTATCTTTTTAAGGGTTTTTGCATCCATATTAACTGGAGAGATTGGCCTGTAGTTTTTGTTTGTGGTTGGATCCTTGTCGGTTTTGGCATCCAGCGTAGTGCTAGTTTCCAAGAATGATTCTGGAAGTACTCCTTCCTTCTTGATTTCATTAGAGTTTGAAGAATATATGTGTTACATCTTCCCAAAAATTCTTACAGAATTTGGTAGTGAATCCATGAAGTTTGGGGCTTTTCTTAGTTGGTAAGTTTTTAATTACTGCTTCAATTTTATTGTCAATTATTGGATTAAGATTTTCAAGTCTTCTTGGTTTAGTTTTGGTGATTCATACATACCTTCTCCATACATATCTTCTCCATACATATCTTCTCCATTTCTTCTGAGTTCTCCAATTCCTTGGTACATAGGTTTGTGAAGTAGTTGCTAATAAATTTCTGGATTTTGATGGTGTGCTTTGTGATTTTATCTTTTTTCATTTCTATTTGCATTGTTTTGTGTCTTTTCTTTCCTTTTTTAGCAAAATTGGCTAACGGTTTGCCTGTTTTGTTTATTTTTTCAAAGAGCTAGCTCAATGACCTATGGATTCTTTACATTTCATTAATTTCTGCTCTAATGGTTATAACTTTCCTTTTTATATAAGCTCTCATATTTTATCATTTTGTTTTTCTAGAATCTTGAGATGCATCGTTAGGTTATTTGGGCTCATTCTGTTTTTCTGTTGTGGACCTTTACAGCTATAAAGTTTCTTCATAGGACTGCTTTTACTGTTTACCAGAAGGTCTGGTATGCTGTACTGGCATTATCATTTGAGTCTAGTACAGTCTTATTTCTTCATTAATTTCTTCTGTGATTATTCAAGAGTATGTTCATTTCTGTACATTTGCATAATTTATGGGTTTTCTTTTGTTGTTGACTTCTAATTTCATTGCACTGTGATCTGATAACCTGCATGGTAAAATTTAAGTGCTTTTGCATTTACTTAAGCATGCTTTATTAGCTAATACGTGATCTACTTTGAAGAAAGTAAGTACCGTGTGCTGTTTTTGTTGGATGAACCCTCTGTAGCTATCTGTTGAGCGCATTTCTTCTGAAGTTTGATTCAACTCTGACATTTCATTGTCACTTTTTGGTTAGTTGATCTATTTATGATAGTGGGGTATTGAGATTCCTCACTAATTTTACTGATGTTTATCTGATCTTTTTTTGCATTAATGTTTGTTTAATGAAGTTGGGAACACTTTGGTTTGGTGCATATATGTGTGTAATTGTAATCTCTTCCCCTTGAATAGTTCTCTTAACTAATATGTAATATCCTTCTTTTGTCCTTTTGATCAGCTTTGTTTCTCTTGATCAGTTTTGGCTCTATCTTGTGTGAGAATAGAATAGCTACTCCTGCTTGTTTTCAGGTTCCCATTACATGGTATATTTTTTCCATTCTTTGAATTTTAGTCTGTGAGTTTCTTTTTGGGTTAGGTACGTGTTTTCTATACCATTGGATTTTGTTTCTTGATCCATTTTGCTAATCTGTGTCTTAATTGGCAAATGGAATCCATTTAATAGTTACAATTGGTAAGTGTTGACTTATTCCTGTCATTGTATTACTTATTGCCGTTTTGCTTTCTTTCCCTTCTATTTAATTGCTAGCATAACCTGGTACATTAATTTTGTTGGACGTGTTGACATTGTTAACTTTATTGTCTCTTTGGGGTATATCTGAAATTTTGGGGGGGTATTGGTTTGGTGATCATGAATTTCTTTAGGTGTTCTTAATTTTGGAAATACCTTATTTCTCCATCAATTTTGAAAAGTAATCTTTCAGGACATATTATTCTACCTTGGAAGTTTGGTTCTGGGTTTTTTTGGAGGGCGTCTTGAAACACTTCCTTCCAAGCTCTCCTTCCTTTTATGTTTCATGTTGAAGAGTTGTTGTAGTTCTGAATGGTTTTCCTTTATAGGTGATTCATTGCTTTAACAGTTTTCAAGATTTTGTTCTTGTGTTGAATTTCTGCTGTTTTAATTATTATGTGGTGTGGAGTGGTATTTTCTTTTTTTATGTCTGGAAAGTTATCTGTTATTACTTCTATAAACTGTTTTTTTATACCCTTTGTGCTTCCAGTTACTCTTCTTACATTAGTATTCTTTATCTAGCAGTTGTTGGATCCATTTCTCATGTTCTTTTGTTGTTTTTAAGCTATCTTTCACTAATCGATTAGTAACCAAGAAGACAGTAACCTGTCTTCTAGTTAGAACACTCTGTCCTCACATTGGTCACCTCTACTGTCCATACTTTAAATTGTATTTTTAATGTCTTGGATATCTGTTTGGAATTTTTTAGGGACTCCCATACTTTTTCCTGTACTGTGTCTTCATGGTTTGCATCTCTTTCTTTCAGATTCACTAGATTTTTATTAGTTTCTTCTCTGTACTCCCTGATCATTTCTTTCATTGGGTCATTATCTGTTTAGTTATATTTTTAGGTTCACCAAGCACCTTATTGAGCTATTTTGTTACCTCCATTGATACTTTCAGACATTTCTGCTTTGTGCTTTATGCTTTCCTCCCTCTTGATGCCCTTTGGGTTGGCTTTGGGGGAATCGGAAGTTTTTGGAGGCATTTTGTTGCACAAAGTGAATGAATAGACAATCTGTGTATGGCATACTACTGAATAAGTAGGCAACAGTCTTACCAGATGTGTTGTTACTTTATGACATCAACCACAATCTTTCAAGCTTCTAGTAACAGTTATGTTACTGTGTACTATTCAGTCACAAAATGTGTGTTATATGTTTGGGGTTTTTTGTGTCTCTGGGTACTAATGTTACCAATTTTTGTATCAGTCAGCATGGTCCAATTTATGTTATAGTATAATAACCCTAATTCTCAGAGACTTAAATTTTCTTTGTCATGAACTGTGTGTCCATTGTGGGTTAGCTGAAGGTTCTTTTTTTTCCTTTTCTTTTCACACTTAGACCCAGGGTGATAAAGTAGTCTTTAGCTGAAGCTTTGTTGATTGCTGTGGATGTATGTAGGAGTCTTAAGATGAATTTTCAAGACAGGCAGCTGCTTATTTTTTTTTTAGCCTTTGTTGATGTCCTCATTTAAGTAGATATTGAAATCTTTAATGACATCAGTAGGTGTAACTTGAATTTTTGATACAAAATCACTCAACTTTTATTTACAGTGTAAATGCTATTTTGGATGGTAAGTATATTATTTCTGTGTATTGGACAAGGAGCCTAAGGTCCAAAAAGGGAAAATGAATTGATAATGGCCCCATGGCAGTAAAACTGAACTAGAACTCAGGGATCCCATCTTAAAACTTGTCTGAATTGGAGAAAAATAAATGTGCTGTTTGTTTACTTTTTTTGGGGGGGCAGTCTTTTCAACAGGTCACGTGTAAGAGGTGTCTCATACTCCTTGTTCTCAGTGGCTGGAACACAATGGATCACGGAGGGGCTCTAGACACCGAAGATGAGCTGGGACCTCTAGCCCATCTTGCTCCAAGTCCTCAAAGTGAAGCTGTTGCTCATGAATTCCAGGAGCTCTCCTTGCAGTCCAGTCAGCATTTACCCTCTCTGAATGAAAGGAAGAATGGTGAGTTGTGCAGCATGTGCATTGGGCGCTGTCATTGAAAGAATCACCTCTTGATAAGTGCAGTTGATTCCTGATTTTTTTGTCAGTTATATTCAGCAGTCTGTTATGAGGGATACCCTTATACAGTCACTAAAGGTTTGAGTAGCAGACACAATTTCACTTTCTATCCAGTTCTAATTATTTCCCCAGTAAATGTTTTTGGTGTTAACCCTGCCTTAAGAAAGCTACTTTAGATGCGTCCATTTTCACACATGCAAATTGCATGCTGGAATGATCTTCCAGTGAAGGCCACTCCTTGTGCTGAAGCTTGGGAAAGCAATTATGGTTGTGCATACATTCTCCTTCCCTTGCCCTGTCACCCTTATGTGATACTTTCCTTCAGAATTGGCACAGTATAACTATTTCAATGATCACTAAGTCAAGAACTTATGTGAGTACTTTTTATTTTATTAGGCATAGGGTTTGACCAAATTCTCAGTCTTTGTATACAAAATGAATATTTTTATTCATTCTTGCCCTGTTTCACAAATACTCATTTATCACAACATTCCAGAGTCTCCAGAAAATACGGTACTATCAATTTTTATCAAAATCAGTAAAGATAGATAACAATCATTTTAATACTTAAAATATAAATATAATGTAATGTTAAAATTTATGAACAGAATATACATATTTTTAAAAGCAGAATTGAGAATTGCAAGAGGATTTACTGTACTTTCCATAGTTCTCATGAGTCTTAAACCTTTACAAGTGTATTTTTAGATTTTTCATGTTTAAAAGCCAGAAGAAATAAAACTTTCCCTTCATAGTGCTTCACATACCTTGTTGTTTACTTTCAGAGGTTTTGTATAGTCTTCATTATTTAGAAAAATGGGTAGAAGACGTATACTACTATTTTTAGTACTTTAGTGAAGGCCCCGAGTGTGCATGTGCTCTCCCTTCCAATAAGATTTGATTTGTTTTGTATCTGAATTTTGTTGTCAGGAGCAACTCTTGACCGTTTTGATTGATTCAAAATAACATTTTGGCTAAGTTATTGCTAGGGTCATTGGGAGGCTGTCATTGACTAGTGATGGTTATCAGGTTTATACAGTGCATGTGGGCCAGGGATAGTACTGTAAGTTCCGAACTTACGAACATTCAAGTTTTGAACTTACAGATATGAATACCTTGAATTTTTTTTTTAGTGTTTTACCTTATATATTTGTGTAAAAAGCATATAAAACTCATTTTGTTGAACTTACGAACAAATCTGGCTTAAAAACATTCTCTCAGAATGGGTTTCGTTGATAAATAAGGGACTTAGTGTATCATGTCAAATTATTGCCCTAAAAAAATGTTATACTGGTATAAATCGGGCTGTAAAACTGCTCACAAAACTGGTCATCTGTAACAGAAGGTAAAGTTTATGTTTCATGGTATACTTGATATAGTTTCCATGTTCTCTTACAGAAATTAATATAGATGTCTGAATGTAAAGCAAGCCAAAATATAGGGTAGTTTCTCATTATAAATTCTTGAGGAGATAGTGAAATGCTAAAAGTTTAATCTATTAATTTAGTCACATTTTATGAAAAAAATGCCATAATATAGAAAGATTGTTTTATCTAGTCTCAGTTCATAAAACCATCCTGCCCAAACTTTGAATATGTTCAGTGTTTTTTATCAACAGATATACCATGTATCATCTCTGTACCTCTAATTTCTAAAACATGTATGGATTCCTGTCTCTTTTGTTTGAATTCCAGAAGATTTTTTATACATGCACAACCTGACCCTGAAAATTTCATGTCGGAATCCTAAATACCATTCACAAAACAGCAGGACCTTTTTTTGAGATTGTCTTGTATATTTATAATCTCTACAACATAATCATGTATGTTTGAATTGTCATTGATTGTAACATTTGGGTATAATTTCTCTTTTAGAATTTAACCTTTTAAAATTTTTTTTTTTTTTTACTTTTATAGATAACATACTCCCAAAGTTTAAAATACTATAGGTATATAATGAAAAGTAGGTCATCCTCCCAGGCGTTCCTTTGCCTGCCTAATTACTTTCCTAGAATTAGCTACTGTGACTAGTATCCTTTCTGACAGAGTAACAGTACTTAACAGCTTTTAAAAGCAGTTTTTAAAAGGCCTCTTTGTAACAACATGCAACAGTTTTAAGGTTATAACTGGAATTAATGTATTGATTTTTTTTCCTTTTTTTCTGATTCTCATTAGGACATTTCTATAAATCTAAAACTAGCTTTGAATGAGTTTAGTTTTTAAGCCAATGTTTCTTTTACAGTATTAAGCAAATGAAAAAGCATCTTGTAGTGAGATAGGATATAAGGACTCAAATACAAGATAATTCCCTCTTCTAATAAATTCCTTCAGTAAGTTAGAAATCTTACCTTATATTCAGGCATATACACACTCTAATTTTGGGCTCATGATAACTTAGCTTAATTTGCATATACATTCTAAGTATAAACGTAATCTTTCTACAGCTATCAGAAATGGAAGTTTTTAGGAAGATACTAATCAAAGGATGCAACATTTCCATTAAGACAGTAGAAATATTTGAAGAGAACTATTATACAACTTGGTGTTTGTTATTTATTATAATGTATTGGAGTCTTGAAAACTGATAAATGTAGAGCCAGGGATTTAGCTCAGAGGTGCCCCTGCCAGCCTTGCAAGCGCAAGGTCCTGAGTTCAGTCCCCAGTACCCCCCCCAAAATCACTAAGTGTAGATTTTAAATATCCATACCATAAAATAATAGATAAATAATGTTAAGTAATTCATGTTATTAGCTCAATTTAGCCATTCTATAGAGTATGTATATTTCAGAACATCATGTTGTATAGGACAAATATGTACATTTATTTGCCAGTTAAACATAAATAATGAAAATGTTTTTAAAATCTTAGATTTTTTTATCTTAGATTTTTGACAGTCATATGAGCAGAGCATATTCATACCAAGTACTATGTATGAGAAAAGACTTAGCTTTCTTATTTTACTCATATTTTTAAATGTGTATTCATTTGTTAGATCTTAATATCATATTTAATATCAAAATATATGTAATTCCCTCAAAATTTAATTCAGATATTTTGTTGTGTTGTTATTCCTCAACATTTGAGTTTTTTATTAGAACTATGTTCTTCTATATTGAGGGAAAAATGGAGGTATTTCAATTTGTGATTAGTGTATATAAAGATTATGTCATAAAAATAAATAAAGATTATGTCATCCAGTAGTTTATAAATAAGCTTTATAAGGAAAATGAAGTTGATATTTATGTAATAATTCCAGCATCTTCTCTTATTTTTAAGTAAATATTTATGTTAGTTAAGATAGTGAAGTGGCAAGATAGTCCTACTACTGGGATAAACATGGAAGACATTTAATAAAGATAATGTGAGTTTTCCTTAGTGCCTGAATGTGACCAAAATAATTCTATAACTAGAAGTACCTCAAAAGTAAGGTAGTCACTTAGGCAATTAACTTTTCCCAAGTGAGCCCCTCATAAAGGAAGGTGGTCATACAGAAACACACAAATACTGCACCTTTACTGAAGTGTTATACACACAGGGATTTTGAGGTTTGTTCTGATGTTTTATATATAGAGTAGATAATCTTTATATTTCAATATCAACATTTCTTCAGCTGGCCTGCACTGTGAATAAAAATGAAATCAGTTGAAGGAGCAGGTCATTTGTGTTTGAATAGAAAAAGCTCAAGTGCTATAAGTTGAATACATCTTTATAAAATCAGAGAAGACAAAGTAGGATGAGACAGCATCTGAGAAAGAGCAACTCCTTGCCTGTGCCTGCATTCTGAGGTGACCCTACTCTGAGGTACCCTCCTTCATGAGGTTGTTGACAAGACTAGTAAGCTGTCAGACGGAACAACTCCAGAGGGTGCTGTGGTAAATTGAAGCTTGTGAGTCATTGCCATTCATTATAGAGTAAGCAGAGAAATTAATATGGATTCTGTTTTTGGAAGCTGTTTGGAATTTTGATACTTTTTGGTATGTCTCTGTTTCTAGGTGTTTTTAAGGTGTCAACCACCTTAACACGGTTACAGATTGACCATAAGCCAGCTGTTGGTAGTATCAAGTAGCAGTAATATCAGGACTTGCTATCTTCTTTTATATTAAAATGCTTTTTGAAATTGTTTTTGAAATAATGTGTTTTAGGCCTCAGTAAAGAAGAGAGATTTGTTCTTTTTTAAACTTTGGTGTTACTAGTTTCTACATTTGTTAGTGGTTTGAACTTAACGGTTTCATCTTGAAAATTATTTCTAAGATTTTTTTCACCCATTTATCACAAGAAACAATTTTAGGCTATCTTCTATTCCTGTGATCACTTACTAGAGACAGTACAGTTTATTTGAGTTTGTTGAGCACATGGAAATATGAAGTGGACTTTGTTTTGGATGCATTACATGTATTAATATATTTGCAGACTGATCAGATGAACTTTGCCCGGCTGTAGAACCCAACCACCCAGAAAACTGCTTCCTTGTCATACCCCTTACAAATATGTTTGCAGCTAATCTTTTCCCTACTCCTCATTAACCTGTTAAGCTTACTGTCTTTCCAGATGTTTGGAAATTCACTTAGGTGATGAGCATTTGGTTTAGGCAACACTGAATTCCTTAGATTGTACATGAACTGTTATAGTTATAGTTATAGTTGGATGGAGATTGGTGAAAGAAACAGGAAATTTCTGTCTTTCTCTGGATTTGATAGCCAGACAGCAAATACTCATAATGTCATGAATTAGAAGTAAATAAATGTGTAGTAAATAGGCAACACAAAACTATGGGATTTTTACTTTCCTTTTCTATAACTAGAAATAATAGAAATGAATAATTTTCTATAAAATTGTCTCACATTGGCTTTGCTGTTAACGTTTAGGAACTGGAGTATTAATGTAATTCTCAAAGCCATTTTTACACATTTTGATAATTTCTTGCTTTCACGAGTTAGAACCAGAAACAAAATATGTATATAATTCTATATTCTTTGAATATAGTATTTGTTACTCATTTAAAAAGCATTTTTTAAATTAGGCTTCAGAACTTACACTGAACACAGCTATAAAGTTCAAAAGCGAGTTATAAACCTCCTAACAACTCTAAACTAGATTCTCATATGCATATTGTTTGTGGCAGTTATCTTAAATTCTTTAAAGTAAAGAAGAAGCCTTATAAATACTTGGAAGATACTCTCTTTCATAATGGCCTTTATAAAGTTTCCTGTTAAGTAACATGTTTTGTTCACAATTTATATAAGCCCCTATAACCCATGCACCTTCTCTGTTTTTCTACTCTGAGTGTCTTACTTAGTTTTGTTGATACTGAGAATTTAGTTGCTTCGGTGTATTGCTGCATACACCCCAGTGATATGCATGTGTCTATGGGGCACTGTTGAGGGAATTTCTTTCTCTCTTTCGTAGCTGGCAGAGTCTGGAATGAGATGGCAGCGTAACAGGGTCAGACAGTAACATGAGTGTGTTTTAGTTGTCTCTTGGGAGTAGGTTGGATAAAGCCTACAATTTCAAAGGTATATCTATCATCTGCAAGACCATAGCCCCCAGCTATAGCCCTGCTGAAGCCTTACCTTGAATGTCTTCAAATTATATCTTTAGAATTGTAGAAGTAGTCCCTGGGGAATAGTAAAACATATTTATTTAAAAAAATATTTAGAAAATAATAGCATTTTAAACTATCAGTGAGAACATGTCATCTTAAAGTTATAAAAATGCTAGGGGCTGGGGATTTAGCTCAGCGGTTTGGTAGCCTGCCTTGCAAGCGCAAGGACCCAAGTTCAATCCCCGGTA